TCTCCTTTGGTGGAAAGAAATCCAATCCATATTTTAAAATCCTGATAGTGGTAACACTATGATATATTTAGAGTTTTAAATTCATGCTAGTATATTATATTTCCTCTTATGATATGAATTTTATCATGTAGATAATAGGAAGTGAAGGATGACTAGGAGTTCAAATTCCCTGCCACTGAAATAATAAGAATTTAAAAGAATACCTTTAAAATACAATCACGCTACACAAGAAACCTTTATATGGGACTGAAGAGAGATGGCTCAGTGGGTAAGAGCACTGGTTGCTCTTACAGAGGTCCCAGGTTTGATTCCCAGGATGCACATGGTGGCTAACAACCCTCTCTAACTCCAGTTTCAGGGATTCTGATGCTCTCTTCTGACCTCTGTGGGCATTGCATGATACAGGTGCACTTACATGCATGTATGCAATACACTCATACACACAAAATAAAATAAACATAATCAAATATTAAAAAAGAAACATCTATTTTGATTTTTCTATCTTTTTGATAAATTATTAAAATATATTTCCATTTATTAAGTAATTTAGTCATTTTGGGGTGGACATATCATAGTTTTCATGTAGCTTTTGTGTCTGTACATGTCTAGAGCATTTTGTTGGTTGAATATTTCTTCCTTTTTGTTCAAATCACCTTTTCTTTCAGTAGATGTTTATACAGTGTTCAGGATAAACAAATTTGTATGACTAATGCCTTCAGTGAGCTGTTCAGGATGTAAAGTCTTCCAGAGTCCCATTAGAGTAGCATTTGGCTTGCTATCAATTTTTTCCCAGCTTGCTGCATCTATCCACATTTGCTTCAAGTGACCTGGGCAGATCCCTTTGTATAAAAATACTTTATTTCTATTTTCTATTTTTCTATTTTTCTGATTTCCTCAGTACTGCTCAGATTATTCAACCTTTGTTTCAAATAGGGGTAGGTACCTATAATATTCAGTTCTTCCACTTCCACTGCACTTACACAGATCCCATCTTCCCCCATGTCCCAGAGGCTCACAGGCTGGAAAAGACATTTTCACTTATTACTTGAAAGTTCTTTCCAATGCAAATAGTTGAGGCCAAATACTCCCTGAAGATCAGGATTTCATGCAGTGCGTCACTATTAAAACCTTTATTTGTACACTGAATTATGGGGTATTCTCTTCCGTTGTCTTAAAGATTGGACCCATGTGCTATTTTCTGTCAGTTTTACATTTCATTACCCTGTGCTGATGAGGGAGAATTCCGGTGAGCTCATGCCTGCAGGATCCTGGCTTGTGGGAATCTCTGGCTCCATAGTTCACACAGCTCTTGCACTACATTTTCCCTACTGCCACTCTAGGGCCATTGATCACTTTTTATATGGAATCCCTGTTCCCTATAGGCTCAGGTACTAGAACAATTGGAACCTAGTTGGTGGTGCTGTTTGAGGAGGTGCAGCCTTCCTGGAAGAAGTGTACCAACAGGGCAGGCTTAGGATCCTGAAAGGCAGTAGTTCTAGGAGTCACATGGATAGTGGAGATTGGGTTCATGTGGTTTTAGAGAAGAACAATATTAGTAATGGGGATAGAAGCCATTCATGTGATATTTTGGCAAAGAATCCGCTTTCTGCCCAAGTCCTGAGAATTTGTGTGGCTGAATTTAAAAAGTAGTGGGCTAATTTTTTTGGTGAATGAAATTTCAAGACAACACAATGTTGAGACTGCAGCTTGGTTATTACTAATAACTCTTGTTCAGGTTTGCAGTGAAAAGTGAGGCAGAAAGAAATGACAGAATGTCCAGGTTGGAGGGAAGTTATCACTTGTAAGCTTAATGCTGTACCCAAGGCATATGCTAAAAGAGGAGTTGTAATTGTTCCATAGATTACTACCAGCAAGGAGAGGCCTCCTATTCTGCACTGGAAAATTTGGAAGGGTGCCCTGGTAGTAAGACCCTGCTCATTTAGGCTTCCAACTTTTGAAAGGGAAAGGCTGAAAAGTTGTCTTTCCCTAGAAAACAACAGCATACAAAAACTGCCACAAATGTGATTCAGAGTGAAGGTCCATCCCAGGCTGTCATTCAAACTTGGCAGTGTTGATTTACATTTTACCAGTTCTGGAGGCATGAAAGAAGCAATTGTGAGCACATCACGGATTCTTTCTTTGTGGATTCACGCTGCTCCAGACATGTGGCATGGGAATCCCTGCAAGGCTGTGAGAGATCACTGCATGAAGCTGTGAAAGTGAAGCCTGGGTTGCAGTGGAGACACCAAGATGTTGGAGATACTAGAGCAATGAGACATCTGCCAAGGATGGATGCACAAAGGGAAACAACCCAAAAGAGAGATGGATGCTGAAGGCAGTAAAGCTGGAGGGGGAGAGCTATCTAAGTCCTTTGAAACATGGAGCTACAGGATTTTGTGTTTACTGGGTTTCAGCCTTGCTTTGACTCAGAATTTCCCCACTGTAGCCCCCATTCCTTCCTTTCAGAATGAAAATGTACATACTCTGTGATACTGATTTCTGGAAGTATGTAATTTGATTTTTGATTTTACACAACTTTGTAGTTAAGAGATTGTCTTGAGTCTCAGAAGGGACCTTGGACCTTGGATTTTTTAAATAGTATTTGAGACTGTGAAAGACTATTAGTGACTTTTAAAGTTGGCCTTAGATGCATTTCATTAGGAACATCTGGGGACCCAAACTTGGCTCAATGGGCCTTAACATATATGACAGAATGCATGAAATCCAGTGGGGGGTAGGGCTAACGGTGTATGGTAAGGGGGGGGTCTAAATATGATTAAAATATATGGTATTAAATACACAAAAATTCAATAAAAATATATTAAAACCTACCTGTATTTCTATCTCTACTTACATATGCTTGGTATAATTCTTTGCCCTGGGAAAAAAATCATAGATACTTCAAGCGCCCTGGGATACTCCCATGAGTGTCCCCAAGGACTCAGATCCATGCCTATTGGGGTGTTCCAGTAGCTTGGTTAACAAGGCATTTGGGAGCTGTAGCAGTGGTAGTGGTCACTGAGGTTCCCTTCATGGTAGAAGTTCATTAGTGCTACCCTTAGTTCAGGAAGACCACAGGCCGCAATGTTACCCTGACCCACAGGGTAACTATTACGATCCTCGTGATTGGATCAGCAATGGTAGCAAGAATGGATGAGCACATCCATACTTAAGAGAATTTTGCTGGACTGTGGAGTAAAAATTGTTTTGCACTTCGGAAACTCAGGAGAAGCAGGCAGGCCTAAAGGTGCAGAAGGCTCAGCCCTTTGCCTTTCCTTAACTAAGTTCATCTACTTGCTTAAATGCAGTTTTTAAAAATTTACCCCCTTACCTAGAAAATTTGATAGTATTTTAAAATGAAAAGCCACTGTGAAAAATAGTATGATAAGCCCTCACAATGTTAAACAGAATTGCGATTTCAAACAATTCCACTTCTATGTATTAGGACAAAATGCAGGTCAGAGCAGCGGATTCAGGATATGAAATTTCCTCGCAAAATGAGCCTCATGAAGAGAGACTCATGATCATGGGGACCATGATGAAACCTTGAAGGGGAAGAGAGAGAAAGAGAGAAAGAGAGAGAGAGAGAGAGAGATGTCCCTCCAAACTGTGAGAGGAACTTCATTAGCAGAGATAAACATAGCATGATGGGTGTATGTGAAAGAAAACTTTCAAGTCCCCTGAACAAAGGCTTTCTTAAGTTTTTCCATAATTACTGAATTTTTGTGAATTTCGTGCAATATACTTTTAACATATTTATACCTAATCCCTCATTTGCACTTCCTCTTAGGACTTCCCCACCCAATTTCATGTACTCTATTATATGTATATTAAGGCCTATCAACTCAAATATTTGTGTCCCCAAATGTTTTTTGGTGTGTGTCAAGTTTCCAGAGTGTGACAGGAAGTTCCACATCATGTGCTTCCTGGCAGGGAGGCAGGCATTATAGGTAGGATCATAAACTTAGCTTGCAGCTTCAAGGTGAAGAGGCTGCAAGGTCACAGCCCAGCATGCTTTCTTATCAGTTCTCTGTCCAGTGAGCAATAGGTGACTATGGCCTGATTTCTGGGTGGAGAGAAAAAGAATCAGTCAGAGGGTCCGAGATCTAACACTGTATTTTCAAAGAGGAATTGAAACCCAGCACACAAATTTTTTTGTTCACCAATGTTCATTGCAATATTTTTCATAATATCCCAAATTAAAAACAAATGAAAAATGACATATTCATGCTATGGAACTAGGACATAAAAAAAAGAAAAAATGCTGAGGCATGCTCCATGGACAAACACTGAAGATAGTATTTCAAGTGAAATAAAAACATATATAAAAGACAAAGTAGGGTATGATACTATGTTTATAAAAATTTAGGAAGCATGGGTGTGGAGAGACGACTCACTGATTAAGAGCACTGGTGGCGCTTTCAGAGGATTCTCATTCGGTTCCCAAACCCACTTGGTGGCTACTGTCCATAATTCAAGTTTCAGATGATCTGATATCCTCTTCTGGCCTTCACAGGCATTGCATGTGCAGGTCCACTTAAATATGTGCAGGCAAAATACTCATATACATGGAAAAACAAATAACATTTAGAAAGCCAGGGGTGCTGGCACATGTCTATAATCCCAGCACTTGCCAGAGGAAGGCAGATCTCTGAGTGTGAGGTCAGCCTGGCCTATGTAGTGAGTTCTAAGTCAGCCTGTCTCACAAACAATGAAACAATGCAAACAAACAAAAACATAAACCCAGCAATACCAAACCCAAACACATCAAACTAAACCCACATACAAAGAAAACTTGAGAAACTTAAGTTGTATATACAGAAAGAATAATGGTTCACAGCACCATGAGGATAGGAGAATTGGGAATTATTGTTGATAGACTGAATGATAGTTTCAGTGATGTAAATATTCTGAAAGCGTATGGTGTTTTTGGTTGTACAGAAATGTAAATCTACTTAAAGTAACTGAATATTATATTCACGTAATTTAAATTATAGATACTTATGTATATTTTACCACAATAAAAACACGTTAAAAAGGAAACAAAACAGAGGAGAGAAACATTCTTAAGACAAAAATATTAGCTCAACTATTGGAGATTATGGGAGAAAAAATCTAAGAACATTTTGGGGGCTGAAAAGATGATTCAATGGCTAAGAGCACTGGTTGTTCTTGTAGAAGAACCCAGTTCAAATCCTATCACCCACATAGCCACTAAAACCATGTATAACTCCAGTTCTGGGGGATCCGACACCCTCTTCTCCCATCTGCAGGTACTGCATGACACAGGTGTACTTGCACACAGGCAGTACAGTCATACACATAAGATTAAAATAAATAGAAAAAAAGTAAGAACATTTAAAGCCTTTAACGAAGTAAAATGTGTAACATTGATCTCCCAGTTATACTCGATGGTAGAACGAGGTAGAGAGAATACTAATGCATCTCTCAACTCTCACCAGTGAAGCTTCTTCATTCAACCAAGGATAATGAACACAGGAGGCCACAAAAGGCCAAAGTGTAAAGAATAACAGACCTGGATAGGAATCCTATATTAAACTGTGCCCTCAAAGCTCAGGGATTATTTCAGAAGAGGTGGTGGAAAAAGTGTAAGTGCCATGGGTGGTGCATGACCATGAGGAAACAGTCTTCCAGGCTTCTGGGAGCCTTCTCTTACCAACTTACAGCAATGGTATCAGCATACACAAGACTGATGCAAACTCAGACAGAAACTCAGCACAGAACTGGGGCAATGGGCAGCAGGCTCCAGTCTTAGCTGAGGAACTATTGGCAGCTGATCACTGCTAGGTGAGGGAGAGCTGATATCTTCAAGGGAGTGGTGCATCATCCAGATAGGTTAAACAGGCTCCAGTGGATGAACTCACACCAAGGGACAGCTGGGTACACAAACTTGACTCAATAGACCTTAACATATGACAGTTGACAGCCTTCAGTTTTTCTCCATGTGACTATTTCTTTGTAGTTGTTATGACTCCAAACCACAGGTAATTGGGAAGGACTAGAAGATAGTTTCTGCCACGACTGACCACTTAGTTTCAGTATAGTGGGTAGAGTAGGGGAGCTAGGTACAAAAACAGGGGAGACCAGCTTTACCTGCGGTGGTGAATTATTTCATTACTGGTCTGTTGGCTTGTATTCATTGTACATGATATTGGGTTTCCTAAGAACGTTTTGCGCAGCACATAATGTAGTTGAACCGTGTTTTCTCCCCTCCCTCCTCCCCTTTCCTTTATCTTTTTGTCCCCTCCCTGGTCCCCATCCTTTCTCCAGTTTTGCTTCCATGCCATATGTATACACATGGTGTTTTGTATCTAGATAAATCCGGGATCCACAGTGAGAGGAACCTGCAACATTTGTCTTTCTCAGTCTGGCTTGACTCACTCTGCAGGA